TTCATTCTTTCATTCATTCATTCATTCATTCTTTTTTCTTTCTTTCTTTCTCTCTCCCTCCCTCTCTCTCTTTGTTTTCCTTCTACTCTTTCTATTTTCTTTTTTATAATCCCTATCTAATTAATTATGGTTTATTTTATTTCATTATAGCCCGAAGAAGAGACAAAATCAGCTAAGAAACAGAAGAAATCTAAGAAACACCACAAAAAGACCAAATGAAGTTCGAAATCTTGACTTCATTCCATTCCAGAATAAAGAGAAATTAAGCCTGTAGGATGTGATAATTTAATCTACTTTTGACAGTTTTTATTCCCAATCTCTGTTTGTGTGACATGAATCATAAACAATCTTTTAATGTTACAAGAAAGCAAAAAGATAAACATCAAGGAAATGACAACCAAGTTTTGGCCATCTTAAAAAAAGTTTCAAAAGGAAATAATATGATCCTACAATAGATCTGATGTGAAATCTTTTAACAAAATATATTTGGGAGTGCAACACAGTGTATGTACCTCAGGGAGCCCAAAAGCAATAGCATTTTCTCTTGTAGAAACGGAAATAAATGCTTTGCAGACATATTATTGCTTGGTAAAGGAGCATTATTGTTGAGTAAAATCCTTGGTGTTTGTAAAATTCACCTAAATTTATCATTGCATATTCATTAATGGATGCTAATCTCTGGGGGGGGGGGGATATCATTCCTGTAAGAAAGGTGCTGTTCCTGTGCTGTTCCTCAATGCAATTGTAGATATTATTATATAGTTTAATATATTTTCACTGGGGGCTCTCAACTACAAAGCCTCATGGTATAGGAAAGATATGGGGAGGATCAGCGCGAGGCAGAAGGAGCGAGAGCTCCGCAAAGTATAGTTGTTGTCACCGCTGCGAGGAGGTGGGTGGGGCTTCGAGAGCTAAGGAGTAAACCGTCATGGCTTAGACCAAGAGAGATTTATGGTCAGATTTCTGAATTTATATCTAAACTCTAATTGCGATGATATAATGCAATCCCAAGGGATAGAAATTTCATGCAAGAATGGGAGTTATGTGAAGATTAGGGTTTTTCGAAGAGAAGTCCCCAGAGAAAATAGTGTTTGACTACCATTTGGATAAATGACAATTATCTTAGTTGTACCCGATGGAAAAATAAAATAAATGTCTATTTAAAGGTACCAGGTAACTGGAATCATGAGATTTAAGAGCGGATGTCCATAAATGTCAACTACCGCGGGAAAATCGAAAAAATTCGAAAATTCCTAAAATATTCCAGAAGAAAGCCTTTGTGGTTCTTATTACCAGAAAAATACTTTTAGGATATTCCGCTTTTTAAATAGCGATGTTTTAAATGTTTTGTAATTCACGCCTAAAACGGCGATTTTGAGAGGCGAATAAGGCCGAGTTTTAACGATGTACCTTGCCCCAAATTTCTTCAAAATTTTTAACATTTTGTTTTCTACAGGTGATTTGAAGCTCGCCTAACCTTCTTCGCTTGATTATTTAAAATTGGCATGCAACGAAATTTTTTTTTTGATTTTTGAAGAAGGGCCTAATTTATTCAGTTTTGACAAAGTCAAATATTGACCATTTTCGAAAGCATTAAAAGTCAACTGGTACATCAATTAGCCTCATGATATTATATGCTGTGGATAAACAATCGTTTCAAGAGTTTATTACCGAAATCCAAATCTCGGGCACTTTAAATGGGAACTTTTGAGAGCTTTTTATGTACATAGTACTTTCACAACAATAGTGACCTTTTGACCTGACAAGCTATACCAGGAAATTACATTACTTCAGAAAAAAAAATTATGTACACACTTAAGATACCTGATAAGATAAACTGAAACAAATTATATAGAAAAGAATCCCTTTTGGAATAAAAAGGAAGAAAGAAAACGAAAGCTTTGTGGTAGAGAAACA